ACTAGTACTATATATACAAGATATAATTAAATAAGATAAACTTTAGAGGAGCGAGAATATTACATAATAATAAATATTACTTTTTATTTTTCATTAATAATATATATTTTATATCAGTAACAGTGGGTTTGACGGACATATGTTGATGTCAAATTTTTTTTCATGTTTGTTCTCGCTCCTCAAAGTTTGTTATCTTATTTTAGTTCATCCTGTACATCCTGTATATAATTATTGTTTATTACAGTATTTGTTTTTGGTTATGTGCATCATTATTTTATTTTATTTTGCAAGACTATTATTACATATTACTACATATTATTATATATAATTTATAATATATTGCAATTATATTATAATATAACTTAAAGAATAAATTGTTATAATCAAATTTTCAAATGCCTTCCACCTATTTTAAATCTTTCTACTTTCAACTTAAACGGTTATTCATTTGCGCAAGCGCTTTGACCGATTTCGTACAGACAAGGATAGATAGATGTAGGGGACACTTTTGTTATGTATATTTAGATAGGCTATGCCCCTTCCAGTATATATGTTCTAAGGTGTCGATCTGTGTCTCCTAGATGGAAAGCTCCCCTTGTCATCCGTACCAGGGATGTTTTTTGCAGTACAATTGTACTATTTTAGTACAATCCATCAAATCTTAGTACGTCAGTACTTTTCCATAATATTTTGTACTGATAATCAGTATTTGTTCAGTTCAAAGTACAAATGAATACATAATTTAGTAATTTAATTTCTTTTACATTCTATAACCGTTAGGGTCTATCCAGACAAAATTGCATAGTTGTATAAACATATGCATAAGGAAATTGATTGGTCCTATATGAATTTTTATTGATCGAAAGATTAATGTCGAATTGTCTTATCATTATAAATTAATAACGCAAATTTTTGTCTGTAACTTGTCGGATTATTATGAATTAATAATGTGTTTCTAAAGTTTATTTTAAAGTTATATGAACGAAAAAGCGATGAAAATTTGTTTATCTTAAAATTAATATCAAATTGTTATGTTATGAATTAATAACATTTTAACGTTTATTTGTCCTAAGATTACTGCCAAACTGTCGTGTTAACACAAATTAATAATGTAAGTGGTTGTTCATTCAAAGATTAACGACAAAATATTGTATTGTTATATGCAAAAAGCAGATGTTTATTTATGTTATGATTAATATAAAATAGTTGTGCTATTATAAATTATAAATTATAGGATCTTAAATAATAATAAAGTATATTAATATAAAATTTCTATACATTCCAATAAAATAAAAACCCTTGCAAAGTGCATTTATAAATACCAATTTGTAATAAAGACATAGAAAAATAGCTTTCATTGTTTATTTACCTGTTTCATTTGTAATAATAAATTATAATGCATGTTTTATGTAAACTATCAAGTAATCGCAGTTAAGGTAATTTAAATATCCCGCCAATTCATGGTTAATACGAATGCAATATAGGTAGCGCGTGTAGTCAGTACAATTCAGTACAAAATTGCCTTCAAATCTAGTACACATTCTTTTTCTCCGAAAAACATCCTTGATCCGTACATCGCATAATATATACATTTATGCATTTACTCCATCGTTCATACATTGCATTTGTACATCCGATTCATTTACACACTATATTTATACATCTCGTTATACAATCACACTGTACATATTTATACTGTCATCATTCAATACGCTAAATAAATTACTTTTTATTTTTTTAAACTAACAACTGCGAGTTTTTCTGATGTGCCTCCAACCGACCAAACTCCTGATCCCGGCGTTATTCCGCGCCCGAAAAAAGCACACCGTTTCAAAGTTTTTTACAGTTTCCAAAAGTGACTTGATTTTTTTGTTATAATTCCGACGGTGCGCATTTTGAAAATATAAACCATTAAAATTAGCAAAATTTGGCATTTTTTTATAAACTTAATAATTAAACAATTAAAATAAATAAAACTTATAAATTTAATAATAAAAATACAGGGTGACCAGTGGAAAGATGTCTAAAGTAAATTACTATTACTTTGCAATGAATAAACAGAATGAAATGAATTAAATGTTATTTTGTAGAGAAAATCCGTCAATTTTATTCCATATAATATAAAAAAGTATAGAATAATTAAGTAATTAAAATAAACATAATAAAAAATGCTACAAATCTCAATGTTATCACAGAATTTCAAAATTCTAAAATTATATTGAGCAAATCCAAAAATCCCTTAAAATCGAGTTTCAAGATAATTCGATTATTTTTTAAAAATTTGTTCTATTATAATGAATCTACCATTTTAAATTTCAAAATTCTGGGATTATATTTGAATTCAATAATTTTATTAATCCCTTAAAATCAAATTTCAAAATAACCCGAATGTTTTTATTGAAATTTGGTCCGTCATATTGGATTCGTCAGATTGAATTTTGTACTTTTGACCTCAGATTTTAATAAAGCAATAAATATTTCTATAGGCAAAATTCCATAAAAATCGGGTGAGAAATTTGAAAATAAAAAGAGTAAATTTATTTTATATAAAAAATTATATTGTATTTGTGTATAGAAAAAAAATGGATGTAGAGACGCTTTACTCGTGCACATGCGTTTTTAATTTTACATTAACGCATGTATTTATTATAGGTACAAGAGAGCAAGCTTTCGTTTATGCAATGTCTGCCGCTGCTGCAGTTTGGCGACTTGCACGAGGATGTGCTTTAGGAAGTCTCGCGGCTTGTTCCTGTGCCACTCCACCACGAAGAGAACCACCGGCGCCCTCAGCACTTATTTCACCCTCGTCCTTCACTACCATGTCCGTGTCCTTCGACACATTGTCTGTGAAAAATTCCTTCAAATGGGGCGGCTGCGGGGACGATGTGAGATCTGCTTCGAGAATGGCGAAGCGGTTTCTTCAAGGTGCAACGCCACTTGGTACTGGCATGATTACCAAATTCTTGCACGCGGTTAATATGCATAACAATCGTGCAGGTCGGAGGGTAAGTTTGCAATATGAATTATGAATTAATAGATAGCAAAAGAATCCATAATAAAAAAGTCAGGAAATGCTTAAAATGTGTGTTTTGTATTGTTACGTCCTGACTCGGAGAAGTCAGGAGAGAGTGGTAATAGCTGAGTATCACTGATGAAGTTTCAAGGGCCTGAGCCAATGACCCGAACGGTTCGCTTACGGGAGTCTGAAAAACGGGTCAACGACTGAAGGTCGCTCTTACTCCGTGTTTCAGTATTGCCGTTCGGATGGTTCCCTTTTTGGTCTGAGATAGTAATCTCAATTACCAGGGATGGAACCAGTGCAAACCAGGAAGGAAACGGAGAAAGGGGAGGTCTATTAAAACAAATTTAAAGCGAGGTGATTTCTAAATTAACGATAGTCATTTTTAATTGAACCCAAAAATTTAATACATAACAAGAAATCATGTCATCAATCAATGTCAATCAATCACAACAAATACAAACAAAATGTAAAATCTTAGATCTTAAATTATAATGCGGATATCAGTTCTATCTACAGAAGTAAAATGATGTGGTGATACCCAGGTAGAAATTTCCCTCAATCTTCCCTGAATATATACGGGCCCCGCATGGGAAATACTAGCTTGGAAAATCCAGACGGGTCCTGGCTTTTCGCTATAAATTTTCCACGATTTGTCCCAGGTTTTGGTTGAAAAATATCTATCTGTATTTTTTCCTGGATCTGGTCGGGTCCGATCAGGGAAAAATCAGTATTTTTATTCTGAATTTCTGGTTATGTTAACGTTTGTTAAATATTTTACGGCTCAAAATAGTAACACCTTACAGTATATCAAAGAGTTACGGTTCGAAATAAAAGAAAAAACGGTTTGAAACGTACAAAATGTGTAATCGGATATTCGCGGCTTCTCGTCTATTGTTGAAAAAGCGAAAATATCGGGCGAAGACAAAATTAGAAACAAAAATAGCGAACATCGAAACTGAAAGTGACTTGATAAAAAACAAGTATTCGCGATCTAACAGTAATGAAGCTACTGATAGTGCTGTAAATGAGAATGTCTATCATGTACGCGACGAAGAGGAAACTGGTGGCCTGGAAATATTTATGGAAAATAACAATTCAGAGCTCGAAGATTGTGCAGAAACCTTCGATTGATTTTTTCTCACAGAACGGAAAATATTTATTTGATTACCGGTTCTTTTATTAATACGGATTAGGAAGGATGTGATCGGGATAAATTAGACGTTGGTTTTATATATGTGACTTTATTCAAAATGCTCGGATTAAAGATAAACGCGATTCGCTCTCTACGCACTGCTCTCGAAATAATTGAAGGAGCCCTTGGAGATAGTCTTTCTTCACCGAGCTCTTTGGACAGACTCATTTTCAAAATACGCAGGATCGACGGCAACGGCAGTCGATAGATCATTCGGTTGACGCGTGGCACGCGCGTGCCGAAACGTGATTCGCTAGCGAGGCTCCTCGCGGGCGCTAAGGCTCGAGACAAAGGCGCGTTTTGTCAACTTCTCGCGCTCGGAATCGAAAATACGCGGAATAACAACTCGGCGGTGAAAATATCCGCGACCTTGCTTTATCTTTTTCGCAAGGCTTTTACAATTTTGAACATACCGCCCGCCTCGCATGCGAACGGATGCGAAACATATTTAACCGCTCGACAAGTAAAGCACAAATACAATCGGTATTGATATAGAAATAATAAAGCGAGAGCTAAGCGAGCAAAAGCATCTATACAAAATGAAATCAAAATATCTCTAAATTGTAAAAGCAGGTTACTGAACAATAGAAATATAGGCACTAAACGTGCAAAATATTTGACAAACTCGACTCTTCGAGCGCAAACACGCATTGAAACCCGATCGTCGGGTCGAATAACAATGTCATAAATTGAATATATAAATTTCGACAAATATCTTGAGACAAGATAAACAATATTTTTTTTTTCTTAATTATCGCACTGAACTGGCAGTCTACACAATAGCGTGATTGGTCGTTTTAATGTTGAACGCGCGGTTCTCACGGTAACTACCCGGACGAGTCCGTCGGATCCGGGATGGATCCGAGTGACTCGCGCGAGTTCCCACTTGCTCGGAGGGAGCAAAGGATTTTTTAACAACGCGAGCTCGCCAACGCAAAAACAAGGCGATTTTTCTGACCACTTATTTCGCTGTTGCAGCGAATGTAAATAGTCGTGCGACCAAGCACGCCAGAGTTGTTCCACCATCGAATGGACTAGCTGCCATCTCGAAAGTCGATTCGTAGCTATCGCGAGTACTGATTCCTCCGGTATCGCAACGATCAGTCGGCCTATTAAAAAATGACCCGGAGTGAGCGCGAACAGATCGCCCGGGTCGTCGCTAAGAGCCGCAATCGGTCGCGAGTTTA